CCCCCCCCCCCCTTGGACCTTCTAAAGGCAGCCTTCACTCATTCCAAACCCTAATCTTGAATCTCATCCTTGTGTGTGAAGATTTTGAAACTTTTGGTGATTTTTGGTGCTTTCTTGTTGAATAAGAAGGCCATTGAAGAAGGTGGTATTGCTTGCAAGCTTGTAGATCCAAAAACTACCCCATCTTGTGCATCTTTTGGAGGTATAAAGTTTCTACCTTGGTGTGTTTCTTTCTAGATCTCTTAAATGGGTTATTTATGAACTTTTTTGTCCCAAGTTTGGATCTTTGTGAGTATGGTGCACTCCATAGCATATTAGTTGTCCTTTCATGTGTTTTAGGTCATCTAGAATCATAAAAATGCTTGCTTGAAGGTCCCTTCCTTTCCATGCAAGAGTGTGGTGGTTTTGAGTTTAGTTTAAGTTATGGTTTTGAGGTTTAAGCTTATTTCAACCATGCAAAGGCTTAAAGTTATGAACTTTATGGGTTAATACATTCTTTTAAGGTCAGATCTGAGTTTGGGTTGCATGTCTTAATGATTAAGACGTTAAGAAGTTAAGTTTGGGATCAGACAGTGTACGCCCAACATACTTCTAGCTACGCCCAATGTAGCCAGGCTTGACCCCGACCCATCTCGTTCATGGAAGTACGCGGCGCGTAGGAAGCATACACCCAGCGTACGCCCTGGGCATGTTGGCTTTTTGCCGACTTTTGACTTTGGTCAAAGATTTAGGGTTTTGGACCATGGAAGGGGCAAAATGGTCTTTTGCCCTCAAGGAGTGTAGTTGTGGGATTTGGACTTGTGAGTCAGGATAATGACCTAAATTGATTAGGGTTACTTATTATGTTTATTAGGCGAAGTTTAGTTCCGGCAGTTCGAGAGTGAGATTTATCAGTCATCGGTATCAGGTGAGTCTCCTCACTTATTCTTACCTATGTGGTAGAATAGTTGTATCTGTGATGACCAGTTGGGTCTAGCTGCTATTATTGTGTTATGTTGTTTATGTGTGACTGAGACTTCGGGTAGTCTCTAGGGTCACTGATAACCCGCAGGGCGTGTTGTTTGCCCACTGAGACTTCGTGTAGTCTCTAGGGTTGTTGATAACCCATAGTTGTTTATGTGTTGTGTTGTATGAGATATCTTGGGGAACTCACTAAGCTTCGTGCTTACAATTGTTGATTATATGTGTTTCAGGTACTTTTGAGGATCGAGGGAAATCGAAAGTATGATTGTACACACTAGCTTGGAGATTTTATTACTGGGCTTTTTGTGGCACTCTGATATTTGTGATAATGATTTGTATTTTATACTTGTGATTTTCTGATGGTTTGGTTTATGATCAATATTTTGGGTAATTTAAAAATGAAAATTTTGGTTTGAAATTTGAGGTGTTACAATTATTGTGTTTTTTAGTAAATAATTCGAAATTTTCTTCAAATTAATTTAGTATATATAAAAAAAATCTTCATGAAAGTCCTTAAACTTTAATCATATTAATGAAAAAGCCATCACTGATTGTTTACTTACAATTTGGCCCTGAAAACTGATATTAACCAGGTACAATAGTTATTTTGCAAGTGTTCATTGGTTTTTTAGGCTTAACTACAAAAAAAGGATGAATTTTGCGTTAATAAAGCAAAACTTTTGGGATTTTTTTTATAGACCCCCCTCCCCTTCTAAAAAAAACTTTCAAAATGTAATGTTTTTAGTGAAAACAAAATTAATGTAAATGATTTTGCATTAGCGTGTTTGACATAGAACGTTTAGGAGCTTCTAACTATTGACAAAACGCTCTGCTTTAAACAAAAATGTAAAAGTTACTTCGTGTAGCGTTTAACAAAACGCTACTGAGCTTTTAAATCAATTTCTATAATTACCCTTTTATATATATATATATATATATATATATATATATATATATATATATATATATATATATATAT